GAACACAGTATTCAACCACAGGTCTGACAAATGACGTATAGACCAGAAGTAAGTCCTGCACTGATACATGGAAGTTTCCCAATCGCCTTAACAGAAAAAGACGGCTGTTTGCTTTTGAAAGCATCCCTGATACATTAGCTTCCCATTTCAGATCAGACTGTAATAATACCCCCAGCAGGCGTGCGACAGCCACAATCTCCAGTTCTTTCCCGTTGATGGTTAGGACCATAGGTGGGGGTGGGCGAGTCATAAAGCAGAAGGTCATGACTTTGCACTTATCAGCATTGAGAAGCATGAAGTTTTGTTCTGACCATTGGCTGAATTTCGTCAGCTCCTCTTGCATTACGGACGGTTGTTGGTAATGTCTCGATTCAGCCATTGATAAATCATCTACAAACTTCCATTCTGAAACTCTGGTGGGAATTTCTCTGACCGCGTCATCAAAGACCGCGAGGAAGATAACAGGCCCAAGTAGGGTACCTTGGGGGACCGAACATGTCAATGTCTCCCACTCGGAGAGCTCTCCACTGTAGCGAACACGTTGGCGACGAGCTGACATGAAATCACAAATCCAAGGAATGATGCATGTTCTTGTTCCAAGTTTGATCAGTTTACAGATGGCAACGGTATGGTCAATTCGATCGAATGCCTTGGAGAAATCTGTCATCACCATGGTTGAGATATTTCCGGGTTTGTCAGATTCTTTGCTTAGGTGATCAGCTAGGCTGACTAGATAGTGAGTGGTGGATCTTCCCTTCAGACCCCCAAATTGTTGGGGATCAAGATTGGGTGTGATGTCCTGCAACAACCATTTACAAACAAATGCCTCAGCTACTTTCGCCAACTGGGAAGTGAGAGACACTGGGCGTAGTTTCTCCACAGAGGGAGGTTGTGTCTTTGGTAATGGTACGACTACAGCATCTTTCCACTCCTGTGGTACAAATCCTTCGGTCAAGGATGTGTTCAGAATGTTTGCGATTGGTTTACTCAGTTCGTATGAAAACTCCTTCAAGATTCTTGTACTAAGCTGGTCTGGGCCTGGGGCTTTCCCCACTTTCAGCTTACGCAAAATGTGGTAGACATCCCAGGGGTGAATCTCTGGTGGTGAGGACTCACACGGTTGGTAGGCTGGTAGCTGTGTGGGGTCTAGTCTAGGGCGACCCTGTGCCACTTCTGCGAACTGTCTGTTGATGTAGTTGGCAATGAATGAGTTATCCGCTGTCTCATTGCCTGGGATGTGTAGGGAAAGTTCTTTCTGTTGCATGTTGAGTATAGTCTTTATTTCCTGGTACCATTTCCCTGGGTTCTCTTTCTTTAGTTTTTCGACACGGTTAAAGTAGTGGCTTTTCCTTGCTCTCTTAACCTCCCTGTTGATCTTATTTCTAAGTTGTTTCCAGAGGTAGGTTTTCCCTTGTGAGAAGGCTTCTTGTTGTTTTAAAATGAGTGACTTAAGCTCAGGTGTTACCCACGGTTTATCAGTTGGGTGCATCTTGACTCTCCGGATAGGGAAATGTGTTTCGATATACTTTTGTAGTGTTTGATAGAACTTGGCTGTCTTGCTCTCACAGGTTTGTTCAGCGTACACTTCTTCCCAGTCATAACTACAGATCCATTGGCCAAAAGCTCGAATATCTGAATCCCGCATGGGGCGCACTGTTTTGGTTTTGGTTCTATTTTCAATTTTAAGGTTGTTCGCCTTCCAGAGGACCATATTATGGTCACTTAGCCCCAGTGGGCTTATCACTTCCGGTTTTTGGTAGTAGTGCTGGAGATCCGTTATGATCACGTCCAGTATTGACTGTCCTCTAGTCGGTGCGTCTACTACCTGGACTAGCCGTATTAACCGGGAATTAACCGGGAATTAACCGTAAAGCGTAATCGATTAATTGTGCGTAGAGCGTAATCCAAGCCGCAAACGGGAACTCGAGGCCTCGCAAGTGCCGGGTTGTCGCGGCAATCGAGGTCTTTCTTGCTCTACCCCCTTCTATACAATCGAACAATCCACTAGGCTTGTTCCCAGAGCCATACACAAGAACAAGGCAACACATGGGAATGATCCCACAGTGCGCTGGGTACGAGATTGACCTTACCATCGGTGACGTACAGGAGGACCATTGGCCAAACGCCACAGATAGCCACAGATGAAGAGGGTAGAAGGTCTTAGAACCACATGACTTGTAAGGCCCAATAGGGGCCCTCAAGACGTTTCTTAGCGGGAACATCATTGCTGATCAATGGCCAGGGTAATGGAGGACACTCCCGAAAAGAGCAATGTCGTCCCCAGCATTGTGCGGGTGATGGGTAACGCGGGACCGTCAGCAATCGGCAGCTGAGTCGTTTTGACAAATTACGCTGTATTGTTTGCGTCCTTTTCTACCTTCGGACGACAACCCCACAAGGCTCAAAGGTCCACTTTTTGGTCCACTTTTTATCTAAAGGTCCAAGACTTTTCTTTAAAAGATGAACTGATTCGTGTCACCAGCAAGGCTGGAATCCGTCGTAGGAAAACGGCTCACTTTGTCATTGAAAAAGTTATCTCTGATTTTTTCTTTGAAACCCACTAGAAACGCAGGAAATGCCATTTCAGAAGGTTCATTTTTCAAAATTTCCCGGGGGAACATGCCCCCGGACCCCCCTAGGAACCTCGCGCCTTCGGCGCTCGCCTCGCGCCTACGGCGCTCGTTAGCCCCCCCCCTTCAAAATCCTGGCTACGGCTATGTTACCTCCATTCACGGATCGCCTACTTTTAATTCAAGTTATGTCACTACAAAATCCACGGCCTGTTTTCGGCCCTACAGCTGCAGTGACACTTGACGTGCCCTGCCTGCCGACCCCAAGGCCACAGCGGTACTCCCTCAGTGCTCCACTGGCAGACGGACTGTACCAATTCAACCGAAATGGGTGGAATGGGCTAGTAAAAAGGGACTTTCTGTCTTCTACGCATGGCAAATAGAACTTGTTTTGAACAAAATGGCTGCCCGGTGTACTGGCTACACGACTTCTGCTGTTTAGTGAGTAGTTTGGAGGAGATATCTTGTTTTTTGGTCCATAACACACGTAACGGATGTATCCCAGAGGTTGCTACATACCAGTATAGCATAAAACTTAAAGCCAATAAAGTAAAATAGTCATGAAATGTATTTTTTGATCCATTAGGTTTCAAAATTTCCCTGCCCCCCTCCCAAGTGAAAGACACATAAAACAAAAATCAGAAGTATTCAATGGTTAATGAATTTCCTTGTACGCCGCGGGTCACTCCCGGGGGCACCCTGACAATCAACATCTCCCCTGAGCGGTATGTAGTCACGCCTACAAGGCCATTTATGGTATTATAGGAGTGGCTTAACCCAGGTCAAGGAACTGAGAGTCGACTACATCTGTTGGCCCCCTGGATTTTGTAGTGCACCTCTACATGTGATAAATCAAAAGGTTTTCACGCAAACATGCAGTTGCTAGGTGATTGAGTTCTGCATAGTGCGTTCGGAATCTTTCGAATTTAGCGTAGAGCGTAGAGAGGCATCCGGAATTCAGCGTAATACGTAGCCGGCTCTCAAAATTTAGCGTAGAGCGTTGTCGGGACCTCCCCCCTTGGAGGCCCCCATTCATCGTCAGGCTGCAGCGGGCACACTTCGCAGTTCGCATCTACTTGTAGAACGACCGTAATATGTTGACGTGATTAGGTTTATAGGGCATTGATGCTTGCGACTGTCGGCAGACGTCATGTACAAACGCATTACAACTCACACGTTGCGTACAAAGATACTAGTATACTAATATTCTATTTACTATTCCTTTTAGAGGGCCTGCAAGCCCTTTTTCGAAAGGCGTAATCAGGCCTTTTCAGACTTCGTAATCCGTAGGCAGCCTCGCCAAAAATCAACGTAATTCGTAATAGTACATTAGCCGCAAAGCGTAAAGTCGTTATAAGACGTTAACGTAATTCGTAGTCGGCGGCGAAAATTTTGCTTAATTCGTAATCACTACCCCCCCCCCATGCAGGCCCTCATTTTACAGAAAGCTTTTTCAAGGGCCTAAGTTGTTCTCGGTTATAGAAAACAACACGGAAATATAATTGTTTTTGCAAAAAAGGAAAGACTATTCAACTGACGTTTTCAGCACGCTCTGTCGATATTTTCGGGTTTTATTTTACACTCTATAACTTGCCCATAGCCTATTTTTTTTACACTCGAATTTTATATATCTTTTATGAAACCCCTTTCAATGGCGCCGTATTCGTTACATGCTCATCTTCCTATTTAGTAGTCTCCAAAAACCATCCGTTTTAAAACTATTTACTAACTGGAATGCTATATATTTTTTTATGCCATACAAAGCTTTTTCAGGGGTCTACAGTGTTCTCAGTCAGGTTAGAAAACAACACTTTCTAATAAAGGCAAAAATGACTTTGTACGTGTAGTGCCTCAAAGCACATATAACTTAAGACGAAGGAAACAGTCACGCTCCACTTTCAGTAGAACGAAACGTCATGAACTGTCGTTTATACCACGGGCTTTGAAGATATTATCTCAGCATTCTACATAGTGGTATATTGATTTTATATAAATAGTCTGTAAATATGGCTCTTTTAATTATTATGACTGTATTATATGTATTCTGTAAATTGATGATCAATGACCAGATTTTAATATTATATCTCTGTCATTTTAACTTATTGGATAGTCCATGATACGTGCAGTGTTTGTGAAAATTCGATATATTTCATGTACCATATGATTGTGTGACATGCCAGTCGATTTTAAACAAACTGAACCTGAACCTGATATCGACGTTTTCTTGCCATGGATGAAACCGCGCTATAAGAATCTTAATATTTCTATTCGGACGTCATTTACAGACGTATTGAAACAAACAGGAGTGAGTAGAAACAGATAGAAAGGCACTCCTGTCCCCGGGGATCGAACCCACGCCAAACCCGGGCACCAGCTTCAGACCCCGACGTTCAAACCACTCGGCTAAAAGGTCTACACAAATCAGCCGGCTCAGTTGGTAGCGCCTATAACACCCCCACACACTGTTACAGTAACACAAGTCACCCGTCTCTTATGATATGCTAGAATGCTATATACCATGCCATATTACAGAGAGCTGTTACAAGGGCCGAGCTGTCAATATTCCGGTTCGGACGTCATCTACAAATGTAATATATATTACAAGTCAGCAGTTGACTATAATGATCATATTGCCTTCCATGTTATTAACATTTTGGAACTAGAAAAACTACACAGTCACAACTGCATTAGACAATTCTCTAGAGATACATGTCATTTCCACTGCATAATTGACATCTCGACGTGTCACTCTTTTTTATGCATTCCACGCCAAATCCTGAATGTAGAAGACATCAGAAGTTTTTACAAGTCTTGTACGAGTCTATGAATGCCCTGACATCCACAAATATATTTACCTCCTATGGTCTAAAAGGTCTAACAGAAGCTACCTTTTTTCTTGAGTAACTCATTTACATAATCTAATTCCTTAATTTATGTCGGCACCAAGGACCGACATACCATCAACAGAATCAGACTGCTTTAGTGCTTACCTATACACGGCAATCAAGCAAATGATCAACCATACTGTACCACATACATAAAGAAAGTGCTACTTCTAACCTTTCTTTGGAAAAATGAAGGACCAATCAAGATCGTTCATTGTAGATGGTCGTTCAATCAAGATCGACCAATCAAGGTCGTTCACAAAAATCATAATATCAGACACACGTAAAAGACGCACAAGTATTTTTAAAAAGAAAATTTAACAGAACTAGTAGCTGTACTTCTTCAAATGACCCACATCAAATGAAATTGTGGGAGATGGAAACCAGGGGGCACTAGTCATCTGAAGACGCCGATGTGTCTGATGAACCTACAAGTAAAAAAAAAGAGAAAGGAATAAGAATTTCTTAAAGCATATTGTGCACTTATGTAGGCTCAGCGTTTTTAAGACGTGTTTAGAAGAAAAAGTCGCAACACATAAATCACAATTGGACGCGATACAAATCAAATCAGGATTTAAGTCTTGAGAAAAATACGGGCCCAGATAATGGAACTGTGATGGGGTACATAGGATAGTTTTGAGGAGGCCCATAAGGCATAGCGTGGGTGCTTGGGTGAGTCAGTCGGGGTCCAGACTGGAGAGAGAGAGGTCCGGTTGGCCTGTACTAGGGCAGAAGGCTGTCATTAAACGGAGTTCCTTGAGATCAACCCCGGCCCATTGTGACACATGGTGTCAGAAGTGGGGATCACTTTCACCGAAGGTGACACTCCGGTAGGTGAAGGACTCACGATAGGGAACTATGTTTCTGAAATAGGCTCAGTTTGTGTAGAACCAAGAACTGGGTAACATCTGGAACTCATAACTTGCAGTCTGAGCGGCTCAGCCGGGTTGTTGTTGTGAAAACCTGAAACCACCCTTGATGGGCATGCTGACGTGCCTGTGGGCCAAAACAAGGGAATAAGTTGTAAGGCGTTACCAGAAGAAAGAAAAAAGATGGGAGCAAAATGGATCTTCTCGAAGCCGGAGAGAAGCTAGGGCTCTCAGGTGAGGATCTACGGAGGTTTGTGGGAGAACAACAGGCCAGGGTAAGAGACGAAAGGGCGGAAGAGAGAGCTGGAGAATCTGAGGTTAGAAGCCGAAAGGCTGAAGGTAGAGGCTGAAGAGAAGGACAAAGAGCGACAGATAGAGATAGAGAAGCTGAAGTTTGAAGCGGAAAGGCTAAAGGCGGAAAATGAAGAGAAGGAGAGGAAACGACAGATTGAGATGGAGAAGCTGAAGCTGGAATCCGAGGAGAGAGAGAAGGCGAGGGAAGCGGCAGAGCGAGAGAAGGAGGCAGAAAGAAAACATCAGCTGGAAATGAAGAAGTTGGAGGTGGAGATGGCTGCTGTGGGACCGCCGTCAGCGCGGCAGGCAAAGGCAAAGGCACCGAGGCTGCCAGCCTTTGTGGATGAAAAAGATGACCTGGATGCGTACCTGTTAAGGTTCGAGAGATTTGCGGCCTCCAGCCAATGGGCCGAGGACAAATGGGCCGCCCATTTAAGTGCGCTGTTGACGGGTAGAGCCCTCGAAGTATACTCAAGGCTCCCCGAGGACGAGGCACGGAGCTACACGGCGGTAAAACGGCCTTGCTAAAAAGATATAATATTACGGAAGAAGGCTTTCGGGCCAAGTTCCGGCAGAACAAGGCAAAAGAGGGGGAAAGCCCGCAACAGTTTATCGTGAGGCTCACCAGCTCACCTTGAGCGGTGGGTGGAGTTAGCGGAATCGTCCAAGAGCTACGAGGGCCTCAGGGATTTGTTCGTAAAAGAACAGTTTCAGGAGGCGTGCCCACGAGACCTGGCAGTACGTCTGTTTTGTATAAGATAATGCATGTGTACGCCGGACCTGGGTTAGAGTTTTATGATTGAAAGTAGTATTTCAATCAAGAGAAAAAGGGGCAGATGTGATGGGGTACATAGGATAGTTTTGAGGAGGCCCATAAGGCATAGCGTGGGTGTTGGGGGAGTCAGTCAGGGGCCCAGGCTGGAGAGCGGTTGGCCTGTACTAGGGCAGAAGTCTGGCATTAAACGGAGTTCCTTGAGATCAACCCCGGCCCATTTCGTGTTGAAAGCATCAGCACGAGCAACAGTGGGAAAACACAATTTTCTGGAACAAATCATTGTGAGGGTGCAATAGTTAAATACTTCTATATATTTCCAAGTCTTTTAGATTTAAATCAAAGGAACGAAAAAGTGTTATGCTATTCAAATTTATTTGAGAATAGACGCTCACTGAATGCTGTATAAACGATGCTCCAATTTCTACAGCTAAAATTTGAAAATGAGAATACATTTTAACCTACTTTTTGGCACCGGTGGTACCAAACATACGACTATTGTAAGAATCCAATTGAAACGACACATGTTCTTACCTTCCGCATCCTTTGCAGCAATGCCCCTCGCCTCTTCTGCAAAGTCATTTCTGCCAATCATTCTCATGAGGCGTTCCAAGAGTGTAGGGTTCCCCTCCCACAACTTCCCTCTTTGCACTAGCTTCATACACATCTGATGTGGGTCCATGTGTTGGAGATCTCTCGCTGGCAATAGTTCTGTACTGCCCAAGTAGTTGCGGAGATCTCTAACTTCCTCATTGTTGAGATTCTGCGAGATCCGCAGGTACAGATCATCAGCAGAGGGTTCCTCAACATCTCCTGCAACAAAACCCAAAATTTATACAATTCTATGGAGCAAATTTACAACTAGCGGAGAGCCGGCATGAAATGTTATTGCCTCCATTTTCAAAAAAAATTGTAGACGTAAGTTAATATAGATTGTAGTTCCCAACGAGTATAACGGGAAAACATATAAAGGCATAAGTTACAGCATTGCTCCTGATAAAGAGTTGGCATATTTTAGAGCGAAATTTGAAATTATGAAAAATGCATACTGTGTTGACTGGTAGAAATTTATTCGGTCATAGTCTATAGATATTTTGTACATGCTACCAAAACATGTCTGCGTTGATGATTTCGATTCATATAACGTGGCAAGGGCCAGACACCATTAAACACCATGGATTGAAAACACGTAAACAACTTAAATGTATCAATACCAAATAGATGTGTAAAACTTTTATATTACTCACGTGACGTTGAAGAGTGTGGCTGTTATGGAAGAGATGGTATAATGTTATAAAGACCACTGACACAAAAGTATTTTGTTGAAAACATTAGGTACACTCATAAAATACGTACATGTGCACGCATCGATATAGATGTGTGCACATTTACACACTGTGTTTCTTCTGCGAAGGCAAATAAAAATTATCTCTTCAGGTAAACATACATTATTTCTTGAGAAAGTAGTTTAACATTTCACAACTTCACAAGATAATTACTTGTCTCACCTGCTCAAACGTCAGGCTACAGACGTCTTGGGTTCCCTTGTTTCTTTTGACCGTTACGGTTCCCACGAGATACTGTTTCCTCGGCACGGTTAGTTGTGCTTGCTGTCCCCACGGCAAACGGCATTCATCTGCATCCACGGTGAGCTTCTTGATTTTCTCATGTTCGCCCAAAGCATCTTCGACGTGAACATCAATGTTATCACCATTGAAGAGGTAAACGTGTGATCTATTGTCACCGCAGTGAACAAAACCTGTTCTGTACGAAACTGGTTCTTGCTGCCAACCATCCTTGCACAGAACGTGGAACTGTACCTGAGGATTGTTAGTTGGCTTCATGTACGCTGAAAACCAGCATTTCAATGTGCCTTCCTTACTGCGTTCAAGTATCTGTGCGACCAAGTATCCCCCTGCCGTAAACGCTGCTGTGGCTGCGGCAATTGCAGAGCTGAAGAGCACAATGGGAACCCAGATCGGCACTATGGTACTGCAGTGAGTCAGACCGATCACGAGTTGGTCTTCAGTAACACGGATGTTAGTTTCAGCACTGATATCCTTCCATCCGGTCATGTCATCATGATGAAGAATGATGCACTTGTGATCCTCCGTGCCAGGGGGGCGCCACGTCTGTACCTCCACGGGCACCTTTCCCGTGAGCCTAGCACCATGCAGGTTGACGTGGAAGGCCGGAGAAAACAAGACTTTATCCAACATCTCAGGTGAGCAGGCAGCGGCAGCACGGGACCATGGGTAGCCGGAGCTCCAGTGGATACCTGTACGTCTGATCAGGATGCTTGGAAAGTCCACAGTGGAGACAGTCACCTCCGTGTCGTGTTGCAGAGCGCCAGCTGGTACCACAAGTTTGATGAAATGTGGAATCTCAACTGCTCCACCTCCTGGTCCAATGTCAGCCTCTCCAATCATCGGTTGACGAAGATAGGCCCCTGACAAATATATTCATATAAAAGTTTTTATCAGTTTAGAGATCGCATGAATTTGAACGTATTCTTTTTATGACTAGATATGATCATATTATTATACTTTGCTTCGTTTTTTAATAAGGTATTCATAATAAGGTATTAGAAAAGCGAAAATTCAACCCACCCGGAATGTTTTGAACAACAGCAGTCCAGCTGATGCCAGCAGTGATCATGTCCTTTCGGAGCATTGTGAGATCATCTACAACCGCAAAATAAACATGGGATATTTGTCACAATGCTTAAGTTGCTAAACCTATAGGATTGGTTAAGTTATAAAACAGTCTAACTTATCACTTATTAACTTTTATTTCACGTTTTGAAAGCCTACTGAAAGCCCCATTCTATTTTACAATCCTTTGCTATTAAATCCCGAAGGTCTATGACAATAGAAATCACACTTATTAAACCTAAACCAGCTATTTGAGCAGTAGCTCTCCTCTAGGAAGTGTGTAAGTTACAAAACCATGCAATGAGACGAATTCAGTATTATTTCTTAATAATTTTAGCTTTATCTAGCCAATGATTTTGTACAGACAGGTTCGTAATTTTAACTGTTATAGACCCGTTTTCATTTCAAACCAAATTAAACGTATCATAAAGACATTTTTCAGAAGCAGCAGCACTTACCCACTTCCATGTACCCATGTTTCATCATGGCCTTGAATAAGTCACGTGGATGTCGGGAATCTCGCATGTCCTGTTTTAGCTGCCTGGATAGAGGGCATACTTGCAACAGTCGTCGGACGTTTTCCTCATCTAGCTGGTCAGCAAGCTTCTCTATCATTCCAGACTCAGAATCTAATCAACGAAAATCGAGTAGTTGGATCGTAATACTTTCCTCAGGTCGAAATGGAAATGTTTCTGAATGTTACAAAATGAAAAGGAAGATATACCATACCTGACGCACCACTCGATGATCCCACATCACCTGGAAGCTCTGTGGATCCGCTGTATTTGGCCGACTCTAAAACAAAAACACCACGACAAAGGGCGAAGTAACGCCGTTGGACTATTGCAGAAAAACATACTTCTAAAAGAAAGACAAATGTTACAAAAGCCCTTGAATTGTTTTGCTGCGAAAAACACCTGGTACTTTCTCCCTCTTTGCAACCACCCTAAACAGACCGCCTTTCTTGAACCTGGTGACCGCGTGGGAGGGGGTGAGTTCTGTAACCGGCAGAAGCTCGTCGGGGGAATCTCCCACCACGTGCACCACTTGGATGTCTTCTGGGGTCAGGCCTAAAGCGAAATATAAACAGTTTGGGAACTAAGAGGAATCAAAGGTATCAAATATAACCAACGTACACAACAGCAGATTTAGGAAGGGCAATTTCACTTTGATATGTGTATAACAATTGAATGAAGTTATTACAACAAGAATATCATCATTACATTTTTTTACACTTAGTCCCAGTTCACTTGACTTTTGACATCATGCTGGAATTTATACTGCGTTGATCTTATATAACATAAATCGTCTTCTAACGACGTGCACTAATGTGTAAATGTGTCAGTATTTTTAAGACGTGCTTTGAAGAAATTCTGAAGTCAGACGTTCTAAAATCAGAACAGGATTCACATGAGACAAATAAGGCATTAGATAATAGAATTTTGAAACCATCAGCATGGGCAACAGTTGGATAGGCGCATGCCTGGTCTTTGGCTGAATGTCCTATCGGTGGAACTCGACTGTTGCGTCAAGAATATAATTTTTTTTTACATGGACTTATCTCCTCTGCTGAAAACTTTTTAAAAATCGTAGTTGGCTACATTGGGTTACTAAAGGTCTGCAATCAGTTAAAATACGAGTGATATTTCCGAAACAAATTCTTTCACAGCATGACTCAGTCCATACCTTGCTTCGGTCGCTTTACCGGGGGGCCACTGTCGCTGGACTCGCCAACATGCCACGTTTTGGCTTTCCTCTTCCCACCTGTAATTTAGGATTGTTAAGCAATTTACGCCATGTCATGTTATCCATATGATTCCATTTTCTTGTCTAGCTACCGTCCTATGGAATAATAATTCTCAGGCAAAGATGAAGAAGCATATAGAATATGGTACAAATTTTTCATGTTACATCTGACCTTTTTTATGTTGTATCTGGGGCGCCTTGGTCATGGTGACCACAGTGCCTTCCTTCTGCTGAACCTGACTTGTCTTCCCCTCATCTGCAAGGGACATACAATAAGAAAAATGCTTACAGTTTGCAAAAGACACAAAAAACAAGGATAGAAAAACAATAGGTCAATAACCTACCTTCGGAGTGGAGAAACACTGTTGCTGAGGGGATCCTGCGCTTGAGATCTGTTATTTGTGCTCCGGACTTAGAATGTAGTGTGAAATGGACAACCCCTTGGTACACCTTTTTGTTTTTTCTCGGTTTGTTCAGAATCAGTCCAACAGACCACCTGTTGCAGTCAGCTGGTGGGAAGAAGAAGCTGATACCATCTGAAACATCAAGAGGGTCTCCGATGACTTCTTCCCTGTCGTTAAACTTAGCGTCTATCCTTTCTTCCCTGCCCATGACGATGCGTTGTTTGTACGGTGGGAGTGGCCGCATATTGTCAGCTTGGAAAAGGTCGTAGGGGTCGTCGTTCTTGTGAACACACATGAGGTGGATGCAGTTGTTGGCTGTTGTTGCCTGGTTTGGGTTTACTATGAGGTACACTTTGTCTTCAGCGTACCTGTTCCAACATGTCCGGAATGGCAGAGACATGGTTGGAGATGTTGATGTTGATGGAACATTTGACTCTGACGCCTCCCGATGGGCTGTCTCCTCCCGGTTCCCTGGGACAGTGGAGGTCAAAGTTTCCCCGCCTTTGCCGCTTTCCTTGACACCGGCAATCCTGAAAAATTAAACAAGAGGAAGAGAAATATTGAAGACGCCATGTAAATAAGAAACCAGCAAATACTTAGCTGCCTAAAACGTGTGAAATAATTGTTCTATTAAGCTAACTTTATTACCCGAAAAAGCGTCTCGTTGTGAATGTGACGGCGTCCTCTGTCTCTTGAAACTCTATCCTAAGCAGCGACCATGATTTCCTTTTCATCAGGACGGTTTTATCTGTGCCGCAGTCTCTCTTCTTCCATGCCCACGGCAGGGTGACGCTCACGGGCTCTAAGAACACCCTAAGAAGGCTTCCTTCTTTTCCTGGTGTAGAGTCACTATCGGGGTCAACGCTGAGAAAGCCTTTTTTAAGGCGTCATCAATGGACAGCATTTCGACCTGTTAGATTAAAATAAAAGTCTATTTGGCAAAAGAGATCCTTGGTGGATTTTGGGTGAAAGTTCATGTTTCACGGCTGCTCATTAATAATGAAGAACATGAATCACCCGGCTATATGGACACATGTCGTAGCAAAAAACAGAAGCTGCATAATTGTCTCTAAGCTACACATAGGCTGGCAGGAAAGGCATGTGACAAAAGCTGCAAAGCAAAGAAAGTAGATATGACTTTACCTCCAAGGACAGGGACCTCCCTGTCTTGACGCATCCTTTTGGAAAGAAGATAGTGACACCATCCTCCTCAATCTGGCAACCTTCTTCTGTAATTCTGTACGTGTTCAGCACGACACCTGACGACGACACCTATAGAAAGGAATTGGGATTATTTACAACGATGAAAAGAGATTCGACTCGCCTGTCTTGGTCCACGAGAAGATCTGATTACAAAGTATTGTACTGAACATCGCATTGTAACAACGCACCTTCCTCAGGATATCTGCTGAAACGAGACCAATTTTGGTTCTGGACAGTGGTTCTTCAGTCATTGGTATTTCTGTTGCTGCCATATCCAACATCCCCGCACAGCGCCTGCCGAGCACCTCTAGCAAACGCTCTCTGGTTCCTTCAGGGTAGGCAAAGACCGGAAAGACCAGGTTCTTGTTCTGTACACAGAATTCGTACCCGAGCGTGGACCAGTGTTTGCTGTGAAGAGTCTGGGGTGTGATGATCGGAACGACCATCCTGACGTTCCGTTGGAGAAGATGATGCAAGAGTTTGTCTGTGATGATTTCTCCTGGTTCGATGATGTCTTCAGACACTGTTACACCGTACCTGCTGGACGATTGGACTGCCTGTTTCAACAGTGGCTGGATGAGCTTGTCATTGTAGTCTCCGGTGTGTAGGAGAACAATTTCATCCCCTAGGAATAAATGTGAGACATCGATATTTAAATCAAAGTATCTAGCAAAAAGCTGACAAACAAGACAAAGCGTTATCTGTGGGCAGGGGCTTCGGCGGGTCCGAACTACAGCAAAATAATTCGAAGAAGTTTTTGCAGTAAAGTACCTCTCTCTTCTCTGGGGAACATAGATGTTCTCTCAGGCAGACAAGCTTCCACGGATGCGCCCAGCAAGCGACGGCACACGTCTCCGGACCTGTTGACGGTGGCAACCAGCTCTTTGAACCTGCTGACGGATGTGAGCTCGTGTCTGATCCGATCACACTGCGCCAAACTCAGCCCTCTGCAGGTCTCCATACAGTCCAGGACAGGGCCGATCGTGTGGACTGTACTTATGTCAGCTGGGTTCAACGTGGGCTCTATCATCACGGGTCCGGAACCACCTGAGTTCTCTGCATGTGCAACATACTTTCATAAGTAACGACTAAAACACTATCTTATCAATATGACCTAGGCAAAATCAGACATCTGAATGTTTTTACCTGGACAGGACGTTGTCGTATCACTTCTGCCACGTATCCAGACATCGATGAAGTCTTCTGGAAAACTGAGATGAAACATATCATGGCTTACTGACAGTGCAATGTCAGGGACATACAAGGCAAGTGAACACATTGCGTGTTTCCATCAAACAAACGTGCAAGAAGCTTGATGTGTTGTGCAAATGAAATTGTTTCATTAACTAAAAGAATTGAAAATATAGCCGGCCTCACCGACTGGATCCCGTTGCCGTGTCTTGCCCGATGTCAGACAGAGGGTAGAATACTGGTGTTCCTGTTTCTTTTTCTGACTCCTCCCCAGAGCACCAGTCATACTGGATGGACGGGATCCACTTCTCCTTGATCTCGAAGAGACAACTGCTGAGGAACTTTCTAACGGGAAGGGCTTGTGTGAACGCTGGCTGGTCTTCAGCAGACAGAAGCTCCACCCTCATGTAATGCTTCACTTTGGTTACCACGAATTGTTGCTTTACATCGTCGGTAGGGAAGCGACCGCAGCCGGCGAACACGTGGGACTCTTCAAGACCGAACCTGCGCACACAAATGGCTTGTAGACGATAGAACATGCCACTTGGCAGGAACATGTTGTCGAATACGACATACAGAGGATGCTGGTATCTGCTCATGTGCTCAGGATACAAGGTGCTGTCGTTAGGCTTTGTGGCCAGGAGAGATGGTACGAAGTAGATCTCTTCTTTGTCAGACTCGTCTGCTGTGTCATCAAACCCACCGATCGGCGTGGCGTTGCAGAGGAGGTAGTACTTTTCCATCAGTCGCTTCAGGAATGGCTTGTGCCGCAGTAGGAAGGGTTTCTGCATCTTCTGATCTGCTCTGGTCCAGATGATTGTCAACAGCCTGTCACTGAGGATGCCTTCCGTCTCCAGCATCCTCCACATCTCGGCAACCTCCCCATCCGTGCTCCTGTCCTGTTGGTACTCCGGAACGGTGATGATGGTCTTGAAGACATCAATCATCACCTGGGGTCGAAGGGCCACGTGATCACTGAGAACGGGTTCGTTGATGAAGATGATGTCACCAAGGTCGTGTAGGAAGGTCAAAATGTCGGCAACATGGCTGTCGTCCGTGATGCCCATGTCATCACTCTGGGCCAGATCGACGACATCTTGGAAACGGCAGAATGGGTCGTCCTCTCTCCTCTTGTCCATCAGTTTGGACTTCAGATGAAGCCAAGTCATCGGCACCTCCTGGCCCATGAACCACAGACCCTTCGCCACCTCACGGAGGTATTCTCGGAGCTCGTCAATGTCGCTGTTGTCCTCGTTAAAGTTATCGATGACAAATATCTTTGGTAAGACGTGTTTACCGGCAGCCTTACCACTGATGTGATCACGTATGTCTTTCTTGTACTCCTCAATGTCTGACTGAAATCAAGAGCACAAATTCATTTTAAGGACCTCAAAGTTCTGTTCATCAATTTGAGAAAATAACCCAATGCTGAACCTTGCAGCCAAGGATATTAACTACACGTTTTAGGGTAAATACAAGCTAAGACTATTCGTAGACTTAAGAAAACATTCCACATACCTCATCGACCCTGTCCTTGTGCGTGAGGACCAAAACGACACGCGGCTCTCCTGTCTGCTCCCGCCCGTGCACCAGGGTGTGTGTGCGGACTGAGTTCAGCCAGTGGTCCAAGTAGTCTGGACACGTAGAAGCGTCTTATCACTTTTGTGTACAAAATTATCTTTTCCTAATCATTTTAGCTTTTCAACGTTACATACGTTTGTGTGATTTAATTAACTTTGTTATTGATTGTAGTTTTTATAGTAATGAAAGAAATGATCTTTTTAGATATATTGCTACTACGTTTCCATATTTCGAACACTTGCCTAAAATTGAAAAATTTATCTTTCTTATGCGCTTTGATCATTCTGTACTATACAAACCCATCTCAAATTATATTTTCAACATCACAAAGAAACGAGAAGAAGCCGAACCCCTGTATTAGAGTAGTTTTAGAACTGTTTATACCACAAACATGTATATTACCTATTTCATCTGTTGACCTGTACTTAGCCCGATAGGGCATGAATGTACAATAAAGGTTATTATTATTATTATTATTATTTAATTTCTTTTTTCAATTACCAGGTTTAAGCTTTGAAGTCGACCGTCCTCACATGGATGTTGCCACTCAACCCGACTGCATTGTCACCACGTAGGTTTACAGTTAAAAATGAGTACGTACCTCTTCCAGTTACGAGGTTGTCCGCTGCCGCCTTGTAGTCCAGATCAGGAACAGGGTCGGACAGCTTCTGCAGCAGTGACATGACCAGGATGTAGATCCCGCGGTACGTGAAGAAGCACTGGTGCGAGCCGTAGTACGTGGCCTGGCCGCCGAAGTCCCAGAGGGAGAGACGCGGGTGTTCGGCTGTTCCAAGCTGCTCCTCGGCCACGCCACCTTGGAGTCGCTCTTTGGCTTTTGTTATGACTTCATCTGGTATGTCTTGTGTTTGCAATTGCTGCTGAGTTTGTCTTAACCCAGCTACACCTTCTCTCCCTGCAACGAAAAACTTAATGATCTTATCATAAATCGTAAGAACATACAGGCTGAATTCTGGTATCTTTCACTACTACAAATGACATTGATATCACACAAGTTATTTGTGAAGTGCTGCGGAAATATACATGTGACATTTATTTGAATGATGGTTTGTAATTTGCTCATACAATTTTTCATATTTATGTTATGGCGGTTAACTAGGTTTTTTTTATTCCAACATGTAATCACCAGACGTGGCGACGACACACTCAAGTTTTTTCAACTTATATTAATGCCGCCACCAACACAGGGGACAAATACATGACAGGACAATACTCATTTACACCTGAGCTAAGTGACGAAAGTCGTGTAAAGTGCCTTTCCCAAGGGCACAAGATCGGTGGCATGTCAGGACTCGAACCCGGGACTCTTAATTCCGAGTCGCGCACTCTGCCGCTACGCCACACGACCCCACAACTAGGTTGTATAGTCTTTCCTCTAATCTTATTATTACCATGTACATACTGTAAATGTTAGTAGTTCATATACATGTAATTATGTCATAGATTGTTTTAATTTTGAAGCTATTTTTAGGTTATTAGTGTGTAACGATATGGATTTTGAATTTTGAATTGTTAAGCCTGGAGTTTGTACAGCAACTCACAATTTAGCCAATGGCTACAAGTTCTTGTTTATGTCTACAAATAAACCAGTTGATTGATTGATTGATTGATTGATTGATTGATTGATTGATTGATTGATTGATTGATTGATTGATTGATTGATTGATTGATTGATTGATTGATCGATTCAGCCTCCTTTGTAGTCTTTGGCTGTTTAAAATATACCTCAATCCGCCATTAGCGCACATTATTAGGACTCAAAGACATAAAACCACATGAAAGGACAACCTTGAAAATATTACGTCTTTCGCGCGACATTTTCCTGGCTTACGTTTTTAATATATATAGTGTCTAACCGGTTGAGATATGTAGGTAAATATAATTAACGTTTCTTACTTTCATCCATCCGCTTTGGGGTTTGTTGACTTTGTGTAACCTCCTCTGTCGGTTCATTTCGGCGCGTTCGCAGAATGCGCTTCCCTTTTTGGTCTTCTGCCTTCCCAACATCTTGCAGGGACAAGATGGAATCAGTGAGATATCATTGATACTACATCTCTATGTGTTGCTAGAGTAGAAAGTGAAAAGAGGAGTCATGTTTCTTGTCCTGTGTGTAAATTTTACATCTGTATGTAAAAGGTTATACTTTATGGTTCTTTCAGTTTCTCTTCTGACCGTTTGTATTAAGATTCGTGTTTTGTATATATTATGTCCATTGATACGGAAACGTTATATTCGATACCTGTCGGACTTTTTCTGTAGCTCTGCTGCTCGACTGCTCCTTGGGTTTGTGACGATGTCCGCGTGCGCGGTTTGTTCCGTTCTTTTTGTTCTGCCAATCGTTCTGCCATGGTTTCCCTGAATTCGTCTGGCTCCTCTGAAAGCAGAAGACGCCATACATCATTTTGGTCCATTGTTACAGCTGAGGCCAGTTTGTCATTTTTTTCAACGGGTTCCATTTTCTTCAATACGTGGTTTTCAAGTACGTTTAAAATATTACAATAACGAGTGTATATTATTCCATGACATGTATTATCATATACGTAGCCAGAAGGCGTCGACCAATTAGAAGGCTCAATTTGCCATTGATAATCAGGCCGTCACCTCAAAAGTGGTCGGTTATTAGAATAACCGACCACTTTTTGGACCGTGCCATTATACATGGAACAGGGTATTAACAGTAGTGTTAAGACTTGTAGTATTTATCTATTAAACGTATTGTAGTTTTTTATGAATAATGTATTTCACAAAACAACACAAAGAAATATGAAACAGTTCACGATGATGTTTAGAGGCCCCTCAATTTTGAACAGTTTACCTACAACAGAATTGTCAGTCCCTTCCAACGTTCAAATTATATTTAAGAAAGGACCTGATAGAGAAACCATCTGCTACTTCTTGATTACCTCCATGAAAAATGGAGGTATTGTTTTTGGCGCGCGTGTGTGTGTGTGTGTGTGTGTGTGTGTTTCCGCACATTTGTAGTCAGCATAACTTCAGAACGCCTTAATGGATTGTGATGATATTTGGTATGCTGGTAGGTCTTAGGAATCCAAAGGTCAAGGTCACATATGGGTCTCCTGATGGCTTATCTTGGTACTGCAGCAGAACTTCCGGGAAAACAGATGTGCGGGGTGGCAGGGAAAACAGATGTGCGAGGTAAAGGCAGCGCCTGCCCGGTTTTGATTGATGAGGTTCTCCCTCGGGAAAAACCTACATGACCATATCCAGGCCAAAGGTGCTACTGTGTGTTTGAAACCAAAAACCTGTGTTATTTTGTTCTGTTCTGTTGTGTAAGTACTGTGTAAAAACATTTAGAAAAACTCATATATTTATTGGAGGTATGAGATCTCCGAATTCTTGTTTGATTTTTTTTTCTTGCTTTCCTATGTTATGATTATCTGATTTGTTATTATTTGGTATTTATGTTTATACTTTGTATTATGTATAATAACTTTAGATTTAACTAGCGCATTTTTTACTCATTATTATGATGTTATTTCATTGTCTTACTTTACCAATTAATCATTAACTAGCAAACTTATTTTCTTATGTACGAGTATCTAGTTTGATTTATTATTGTAACTTTCTTTTGTCCTAAATTGATAATACCAATGTCCTTGATAATACATATTGTAAAAAGTAATCTAGGAAAATCAAGTAACCCCTTAGATAAACCAACAGGCTAATTGTGATGCCCCGTACATCATTATCCATATTATTGTTTACTTTTTATGTGCAAATCAAAAACAATAAAAAAAAAAATAAATAATTAAAAAGAAAAATGAAATTTAAACAGAGAAAGACTAAAAATAATTTTGACACTAAGTGATATGGCCATAGGCACCTGTACAAGTTCCTCCGTAATAAGATTGCCCGTCTTATTTCTACCTCTAAGAAAAACTACTATGCTGACCACATAGAACATCTTAAGAAAACCAAACCAGCACAGTGGCACAAAACGATCAGACATTTGGCAAACTGGTCCAGACCGAGTTCAACAATCCATGTACCTGGATTCGAACCGACTAATACATCAGGAGCAGCTCAAGCAATAAACAGTCACTTAGCAGCCATTTGTCAAGCTCTTCCCCCACTTGACTATTCTAGACTCCCTGCATACTTACCAGCCCTACCCCCACCCCAAATCAACCCATGGGACATGTACCAACGACTACAACGTGTTAAATAAAGTATCTAAGGCCCCAGGCCCTGACCTTATCCCACCCAAATTAATCAAAGAGTTCGCATACGAACTCTCCACCCCCCTAACTGATATACTAAACACCTCATTGAGAGAGGGCAGGGTCCCTGAAGTATGGCGTGATGCCACAGTAATCCTAGTGCCTAAGGAATACCCAGCGGACTTGAACAAGATCCGGCCAATCTCACTGACCGCACAGTTTGCCAAGATCTGTGAGGGTTTTATCACCACATGGATTTTTTCGGACATCTTCCCAAACGTAGACATAAAGCAGTTTGGTAACATGAAGCGTTGCTCAACGACTCATTGTCTTATAGACCTCCTAAATTTCTTCTATGAGGGAGCTGAGAGGAAAAGCACTGTTGGCACATTAATACTAACTGACTTTTCGAAAGCATTCGATAGAGTCTGCCACACCACTGCCATTAGCAAACTTATATCCATGGGCACAAGACCCTCACTGATCCCCTGGCTCTGTAGTTTTGTGTCAAACAGAAGGCAGCGTGTTAGGTATCATGACTCTACTTCGAGCTGGGAAACATTAACGTGTGGAGTGGCCCAAGGTACTTTACTGGGCCCACTGGTGTTCCTCGCCATGATCAATGACGCAAAACCTAATACTAATAATCCACACTGGAAGTATGTCGATGACATGAATTTGGGAGAAGTTAGAACTGTGTCAACCCCAACTAAACTTCAGACTGACCTTGACTCCTTGGACACTTGGGCCGAAAAGAATTCCATGTTACTGAATCCCAAAAAATGTAAAGCTATGTACTTTTGCTTTATGAGAACCCTCCCAGTAATGCAGCCCCTGACTCTGGGAGGGCAGCCACTTAGCATAGTCACTCAGGCAAAGCTACTCGGCTTGCACATACGCTCTGACCTAAAGTGGTCTGACCAAGTCGACGCCATGGTGTCCAAGGCTAGTAGAAGGTTATACTTACTGAGTAGGCTGCGTCGAGCAGGCCTCCCAAGTTCTGACCTAGTCAATGTATATTCTGGGAATATTCGACCAATAGTCGAATATGCCACGCCCTGTTGGAATGCGGGTATCACAAAAAACAATCTGACAGCATAGAAAGAATCCAGAAAAGGGCATGCAGAATCATGCTGGGTAGAAGCTATCACTCGTATTCCGCGGCCTTGTTAACTCTTGACCTCCAACGTCTGTCTGGGCGCAGACTTAACCTGTGCCGGGCCTTTGCCCTTTCAGCTACAAGGTCTAGGCACGCCCCTTGGCTACCTGCAGACAGTAACCACCCACACAATATGCAGCTTAGGCAAACACGGCGATACAAACCACCCAAAGGGACACAAAGATATCTACGTAGCCCGGTTCCCTCAATGTTGCACATATTGAACACATTGGACTTACAGTAGATTATTTTTTTATAATAGCTGTATATGTTGTAATAGTGTTTTATCTTATGTTTGTTGTAATCGTTTTTAGCTATATCATGTAATTTGTAACCGATCTTGTAACGCCGTAATTTTAACATAAAATCTGCAATAATCTAGAGCAATAAAAAGTGCAATAATCTAGTGCAATATTGATGCTTATGTTTAAGTTATGTACATGTTAAATATATTCTACCTGTGTATCTCATTGTAAAAGCTGCCCAATTCAGCCTTCGGGCTGCAATTAGCAACTTATATGTATGTTGTATGTATGTTCCTTTCGAAATAAACCAGTCTATATACACATGTAACAGTTCAAATGTAAAAAATCGCAGATAATTGCCTAGATGATGTTTTTCTGTCCATGCCATATTGTTTTACGTAACATAGAATGTGAGAGCTTTTTCGGCAATGGAGAAATTTTATAAAGGACTTTTGTTGAATAACTGTGTCAGTTGGATTGGCTTTTTTTATATTCCAACATTTCATGACTAGACATGGTGACTGCACACTCAAGTTATATCAACTTATTTTATGCCGCCACCAACGCAAAGGACAAATACAGGACAGGAAAATACTCATTCTCACTTGAGGGAAATCGTGTAAAGTGCCTTTCCGAAGGGCACATGATGATCGGTGGCATGTCAGGATTCGAACCTGGGACCTCTTGGCTCCGCTACACCACACGACCCCACGGATAATGACCTTAATGCCCCACCTTATCCTCGGTGTATATGGTGAAAGAATCCCTGGTAAGGTGCGATAAACACCAAGTCAGTGGCCTGATAAGGGATTATCTCACCATATACACCTCGGAGCGGGGCATTGACCCTTAATTACCTTCGCCAAGAAGGTTATGTTTTCAGAGGCGTTCGTGTAATACAGTACATATATGTGTGTGTGTGTGTCCGTCCGTCTGTAAACACGATAACTTGAGAAGGCTTCAATGGACAGTTTTGATACTTGGTAGGTGGGTAGGTCATAATTGGACCTCAAAAGGATTAGATTTTGGACACCCTAGCGGCTTTTTATGGTACTGCAGCTGAACTTCCGGTTTTGATATGTCATGATCTAAACATGCTAGGTGACGAAATTTGGATGGTAGGTAGGTCTTGTGCTGGGGAAGAAGTGACGTGAGTTTGGCCCCCCTAGCAGGGCTATCTGTTTGAAAATATTCAAAAGAGCATAACTCAGGAAGCGGTTGACGGATCGTCATGATTTTTGGTATGTAGGTAGCTTACGCGGTGATTCTAATAATTATGTAATTTGTATACTTTATGGGAAAATTCTTTAAATCAGATGCATTCCATCATTGGACTATGAAGCTGGTGACATTGGTAATTTAGAACGAAATAAACACAGGCAGATATTGATTATGTAAATAAAGACTTAATTTGCATAATTAATGAGAAAATGTTATAATTCTGTAATGATAACTGCCTGGAATTTCATACTTATGGTATTTGAAAGTTCATTGAAGGTGAACATCATTATACATAATGTATTCAAATTAGGACCTCATTTGCATACTTTATGAGAATATAGTATATATGAGAATATGATATAATTCATGAAAATGAGGATCCTATTTGCACAATCAGGGGGAATAATCTATAATTTGTCAACCATAAAGATTAACATTATTTGGCGAAGGTATGAGATCGGGGAACTATAGTTATATAATAGCAAACACTGCCCAAACTCTCTAAGAAGCAAGATTAAATTTCACGAGAGTGATAGATATTAACATGTTTTTCGGACCTTTTGCCTTCCGCCAAGTCTTGGTCATCACGCTGGGTGAAATCTCGATGCCGTCTGTTATCGGTTCATTCTCCCGTCAGCCTCCTGACGACACACGTCTTCCCGGATCTGAACTGACCAACCACGAGCCCGCGCACGCTGTGCACCGGTCGCGCCCCCTGGCGGCAGGCCTGAGAGTACAGCTGCTGCATTCCAGGACCCCGCAGCTGTATTTCGAGTGGAACACTGCTGCCTCCTGGATGAGAAGATATCAATATTTTATCAGACATTTATGATATCACTTTGCTTCTCGTGCACTTACGTAAAGCCGATGTCTAATCAGATAGATAGATAGAATGACCTATTTAGTCAAGTATTTCACATCTAAAATCGTTGTGTGTTTAAAGTTAAAACTTAAGATCCAACACAACAAGTTCTCTCACCTAGAGCTTTCGACCAGTCACTCTGGTCCTCCTCAGTAGACCGACCCAGTGAGGCTTGTCACGTGGCTTCTTTGAAGTGTGACGTCAACACTGGGTCAAAGGTATCTGGTAGACGATGTTGGCCCCCGTCGCGGTTAAGTGAAGGGTGGTGAGCCCTGATGTAAATAGCTCCGCCCCCACTCAGGATATAGTCTTGTTGAGTGTCCAAAATCCTTACAGTGTCAAGTGAAACAAAGTATCCGGGTGACTCTATGTGGATGTGTTGTGTATGTTCTTAATTGGTAGCTGGCCTTCAGAGACCTTTCTGTTTCACCGATGTCTGTTTCTTGGCTGTGCCCTTTGTTGTTTTTGTTTCTGCCCGTGACGGGGGCGGATATCGTCTACCAGATACCTTTGACCCAGTGTTGACATCACACTTCAAAGAAGTCACTGAGAAAGACCAGAGTGACTGGTCGAAAGCTCTAGGGGGAGAACTTTTTTGTAATGGGCCAAAAGTTTTAACTTTAAACATGTAACTACCAACACAGATGAACTTTCATGATAGTAAAATAGTTAAGTGTTATATCTTACCCATTTTTGTCGACATCCCCAAGTCTTCACGATGTCCCATGATGTTCTCAGCCCCCATGTCGTCTGTGGGGAGGCTCTGCTCACTGCCGCCCTTAAACCTACGATAGTTGACAATGAAGTTCTGAAAAAAATAATTACAAATGACGTTACTGTTAACCAGGATGATAAAACGAAAAGATGAATCATAATTAACTTGAGGCACAGGGTACGATTTCATAAAGCCAATATTCTTGCTACAGAAAATAACGCACGAGTTACACCAACAATTATGTTTATTAGGAATCTCCATTAGTAATAAAATGTTTGTTTCCTAGTCTTCCTGGAGTCCTTTAACATTACATTCAAAAGATGAAATATAATTGAGGATTAGGCAAATTGTACTTACCATGAAGGATAATCCCAATTATACCTCACACGAACTATTTGGGTATATCATTTACCTTATGCAGTATTTCCTATGCTTATCGCTAGGTGGCGCACGTGTACAAAGCTTTAATCGCAAAGCATCACGGGATATCATGACGTAATGACAATGTTCGCCGCCATTTGACGACGTGCGAGAAAGAGTCTGTGCTGTTCACCATGGGTGGGCATTTTCAGCTACTTGGAAGCTGAAGAACAGCAAGGGTGGGAAGATATACCCAAATAGTTCGTGTGAGGTATAATTGGGATTATCCTTCATGGTAAGTACAATTTGCCTAATCCTCAATTATACCTGCACACTCCCTATTTGGGTATATCATTTACCTTATGCAGACTTCAGAGCCGTGGACAGCACAGCCTGGCAAAACGTGTGTTGGTTGTTGTCCCTCCTGTAGTACTTCAGGAAGGTAGACTCTCGTGACCAGTCCGCTGCATTCATGATGCTATGTAGAGACACCCCAGCAGCTGTAGCAGCTGAAGTGGATGCTCCTCGAGTGGAATGAGCTGAGAAAGTTGCTGTGTCAACACCTGCCGTGCCTAACACTGACTTAACCCACCTGGCCAGGGTCGCAGAACCAACTGGCCTGTGTGGTCTGCTGAACGATATGAACAACTTCTGCCCCCTCCCCTCCCTTTCCGAAGGGAAGAAGTCAGCCTTAGATATTCTTTCAGGTATGTGAAGGCACACAAGCGCCTGTCCTGCGGGAAGGCCGCCCAAAAACACTTTCTGGCAGGTTTCCCTGGTCTAGAAGTTTCAGCAGGGTAGGAATTGTCCAAGAAAACACCGTTTCTACATTTTTTTTTTTTTCATGAATCTCAAGTCAAGAGCCGCTAAAGTCTGACCCCTGTCGGCTGACACCAATGCCGCTAGTGTTACCAACTTATGAACCAGCTGTTTCAAACTAAGACTATTAGCTTGGCAACAATGCAGAAGGTACTCTAGGACCCGACTGACGTCCCATGTTGAAACATATCTTGGACAAGGAGGACGTTTGTGAAACAGACCTCTCATCAGTTTGGACACTAGAGGGTGACTACCCACATTACAATGGTCTACTGGTAAGTGTACAGACGAGATCGCAGAACGAGCCACCCCAATTGACATACAATGTATAGCAGTAGTTCTGTCGGAACATCCATTCAAGATATTCTACTACGCTCTCTATAGAGCCGCAAACTGGATCAATCTTCCTTCTATCACACCAGCTGGCCCACTGAGCCCATGCTGACTGATACTGTCTAGAAGTGCTTTCTCTCCAAGCCGAGAGGATGAGGTCTGAAGCCCCTGCCGAAAGGCCCCGACCCTGCAACTGTCGCCTGATCTTGGCCACGCGGCAAGCATCAGATCTGGCAACAGCGGATGGGGTCTCCTGTTGTGTGGCAGGAACAGCAGATCCCAGCTCTGTGGCAGGAGAACCGGACTCTCGAACAACATGTTCAACACCTTGGGGTACCAAGCCTGAGACTCCCAAACTTGGAGGTATCAAAATCACTATTGCTACGTCTGACTGGACTTTCCTCAGTACCTTGAACACTAGGCTGAAGCGGGGAAAGGCATGCGCTAGCCCCAGGTTGCCTCAGTGAATGTTTAGGCCATCCACCGACATGGCCTCTGGTTCTGGGCGCCAAGAGACATACTCCTTCAGCTGAGCGTTCATACGAGACGCAAACAGATCTACTGTCAATGCATTGCCTGTCCAATGTTCAATGACAGGAAAAACTGAGCGGTTCAGTTGCCACTCTACCTTGTCCAGAAAAACCCGCGAACACCTGTCCGCTAGGGTGTTTGTCAATCCGGGAACGTGAGTTGCAGACAACGTCAGGCCTCTTTCCAGGGCCCACGACCACATCTCCAGGGCCAAGGCTGCCAAACCTGGCGACCTTGTTCCCCCACGTGATTCACATATGCAACGGCTGTTGCGTTGTCCAGCCTTAGCAGATCATGCTGAGTATCTGCGCTCACAAAGCTTCTTAGCGCCAGGGAGGCCGCTTTCAATTCTAGTCAGTTGGTCACAGTGCAGGCGCGCTTCTGTTTGCGACCAGCGCCCGCCTGTCTCCTGACCATAACAATGCGCGCCCCATCCTTCCAGTGAGGCATCCGTGCAAATTGTCAGGTTTGACGGAACAAAGACTTTACTTCGCGCACATGACCGATCCACCACTGTAGATATTTTGCTGCATCTGGGGTTAGACTGACTAAAGAGTCAAAATTCTCTCGGCTTCTTTATGCCGAAAATTGAGAAGCTGTTGCAGAGCCCGGAAAAGTAAGGGCCTTGGAAGAATGGCTTGCTTGGCGGACTCTAACAGCCCCACCACGCTGGCTAGCTGTCTGATTCCTATCACCTCCTGTTCTAGAAGTGATAGGCAAGAACTCACTACCTTGTCTAACTTGTCTTCGGTTAGGTAAATTGTCAAAGTACGAGAATCGAGAACAAGGCCTAGGAAAGTCGCTACCTGAGACGGTACCAACTGCGACTTCTCCAGGTTGAGAACAAACCGAGTTGCTCTAGAAGCTCTCTGCCTATAGCAATGTGCTCTAAGCATTGTTCCCTCGACCTTGCAATGATCGGTAAGTCGTCTAGGAAAACTACTACTAGTAATCCAGGGGTCTCCCCAAGCAATGAAACAAGGGCGCTGCGCCTCTCATAAAATTTTCAGCGCCTGTCATAAAGTTTTCAAATGTAGGGTCTTCTCTTCGTACTTTTGCTTGTGTTAGCTTGGCTAATTCGTGAAATTTTGCTGATTTGGGGGCCAAGCGGCGTCACTATGCCCATCGGTATTGTCTGACAAAAGTTGTAAAAAGGCGCTATTTGAATAACAATAGTCCACTTTGCTACACAAAATCAATGTGTTTGGTAAAATGTTGACACCCTGCTGGCATTTGAAAATCCTATTTTCATGTAAACAACGCTAATTTCTCCATGAAATACAGCCCAAACAGTCAGAGAATAGATTTTTAGGGGCTAGTATATGGCGATCGTAACGTGGAAAATCCCCTTTCAAAATTCGGCAACATGGAAGAAAAAATAACTCACGAAAATCTTCCCTTCAATGAGGAATCAGTGCTCCAACAAATTAAACATAGAGAGAAGAACATTTCTTCTTTGTTGTGACCTTGTATTCAATCCATTTTTACGAGTTTTGGACGTTTTCGTGGCCTTGAACATAGAAATGTGTAGCGCTCGGCACGAGGTCGGCCATCTTGTTTTCTTCAAATCTCCCGATATCTCGCGAGATTCAGTGAGACTTGGGCAAAAACACTGCAGTTTTGACCAAAACCGCTAGATGGCTAGGGTAGAATTACAGGTTTGTTGTTGTAGGGACGAAAAATGTAACCCTTTTAGTTTGAGGAGTACTTGTTGTAGCTATAGTTAAACTTTGAACGGTTGGACTTAGAAGTGCTCGAAGGGGCTGACTTATAAGCCTTACTCAAAGTGCGTCTAGCCTAATCGGCTGAATTAACCTTCTCCAAAAAGGTGTCTCCAAATTAAGAAGGGGAAGAATCTGAAGTTCCCGAGCAGGTCGCTACATTTTTGAGCGAGGACTTACTCACAAACTCGGAGTTTAACTGCTGCCAACAACTCTACTAAAAGGTTAGCAGCCATGAGCATCTTATCCTGGCAATCACTATTATCAGTGTTTACGGTATCACGCTTGATCATATTAGCCACTACTGGGTCTAGAATCGGCGCCCGAAGTGCTAATTCAACATTAGGTGGAGTGGGAAAAGTTTTCCTTCCTCTCTTCACTAAGGGTTCGGACCATCCTCTAAACCCGATGCTGTTTGCAAAGCGATAGAATCGTCTTTGGTGTTTTTTGGGATCAGCTTCCTCTACTATGACTCAGTATAGACGTGAAATGCGTGGCAAGGACATGAAACAAGATATGAAACATGTCTTCAAGACCGATTTGCCCACCGGTTCCTCCAAATACTTATTTGAAGTTATTATCGTAGGGACTATCAAACGACAAGGAGTTACCTTCGTCAGAGTCAGAAAAGGTGATTTTTCCCTCCTCCGAACACTCTTCCACTTCAGAACCTGGATGCTCTCGCCGGAACCGACTACACCGGCTCGGCTGGTCGACGCTACCGCCCCGTCAACGTCCCGAGGTTGACGGGATGAACTGGACGCCTGAGGAAGTCCCAAGCTGGAACTGATCCACTGAAGAAAAGAGGCAGCGTCGAATCCAGGCGGGAAGGGTGTTTCTGATGGAGGTGGGGGTGGAGGAGACTTTTCCCCACCAAGCTTCGGCATGGTCGGGGAGCCCAACTCCTCCGAGTCCGGAGGAAATTTAGGCCGGGGCGGCGGCAGCTCCGCGCCGTCTCCTTCCTTGACTGATGTTCCCGGTGCCAACGCCGAAGGGGCATTTCGCTCCCAAGCGGCGGATGTTCCCGGTGCCAACGCCGAAGGGGCATTTCGCTCCCAAGCGGCGGAATGAGGTTGGAGTTCTTCTCTTTTTCCTCCGAACCTCCAGCTGTAGGAGCGGGGACTTTTCGTTCACCCGACTCCTCTTCCTCCTGTCCGGAGACATGTGCAGGCACGCCTGTATTTTCCACGGCCAGGAATTTTTCCCTGACTAGCGTTGGGAAACAGGCCGCTTCTCTTGCCGTTACGACCCGTCTGGTCCTCCGAAAGGCTACCTGAATCGCCCTCGTGGGCAGAAGACTTCGTTTTATCCTTCTTTTTGGGCCTAACG